GCCCTCCCCCCCTCTCCGCTCTCCGGATGGTCTGGCAGCTCAGCTCTCTGACGGTGAGCAATACAAACACCCTCTTGCTATCCCCCGCCGGGCTGTTTCTCACACAGAGCCGTTGCCAGCTGCATTCTCCTCGCTGCTTTGAAGCAGCATCGTCAGAAGCTCAAACCACCACCACTCAAACGTCGCTGCGCTCCGCGATGCCTCACACCTCCCAGCCAATGCAAAACCAAAACCTCGCCGAGCCGAGCTGCCAAAATGTCACAAAGCTTCACCTTTTTCCACTTTCATCTTTCCTTTTTCGCACTCTTCTGCTGCTTCACCCCCCGGGGTGGGCGGCACAGCGGGGCCACAAAGCACAGAGGGACGGATGGAGAACCCACTCGCTGCAGCAGCGCCCTGTGGCACAGAGGCTGCAGGCACAGCAAAGAGCTTTCGGCAATAAATTAGTGTTATTGCAAAAGTAATAATAACTGTGCAGATCTGACAAATTAAAAATAATAACAATAAAAAATCTCTAACAAAGAGATGTCTGCGTGTGCCTATGTCCAGGTCTGCATCAGCCCATGCGCTATTCACACACGTCTACACTGGCACAGGGGGATAAATAAAGATGTGGGGGTTGGGTGGTGGCTCTTACTCCTCGCATTCTGCTTCAGGAGCACCCAGCAAGGCAAAGGGATGCTCTGGGGGTGCTGCTGCCTCCTGCTCGTGAGGTGTGCCCACGTGCCAGATGGGCAGCATGCAGGGACAGCCCCACTGCTGCGTGCTGCTGTCATCCACCCCCAGCTCGGTCCCTGGTAACCTCACAGAGCTGAGTGGTACCCAGGACCCAGCTGCGTCCTCCTGCAGCTCACCAGGGCTGAAGCTAATGGTGTGCAGGGCAGGAAGAAGGCTGCTGCCCGCTCCCAGAGCTGTGGAATAAAGCTGGAGGTGTGGGGAGAGCCATGTCTCTGATGTCCCATAGTCCCCATCCATCACGCTGCTGGCTGGAGACACCGCTGCAGCATCCTCATCGCTTTCATCCTCCTCATCCTCCTCCAGTGCTGGCACCCAGGAGCTTGGCTGGGAGCTGGGTGCAGTCCTACCCTCATGCCACTCCATCCCAAACCCATTGGGGCAGTAACCGCTCCTCTCCTGGTAACACCACTCCCCCAGCAGCAGTGGGGCTGTGGGTGCTGGGTGCTCACGGGGGGCTGGCAGCAGTGGGGCTGGTGCATCCTCCTGCAGCTCCAGGGTGGGCACAGCAGTGCTGCTGGGCAGCAGAGCCTGGAGGGAAGCAGACAGCAAAGCGATCAGTGCTGGTGTGCTACAACCACAGTGCTGCTGGGTGCTGGTGCTGGGCAACCCCTTGCACACACACAAGCAAACCCAGTGCAGAAGCCAATCCTTGGCACTGATGCCAGAAGGGTAAATTGACCAGCTGGATGCCTCCCCCTGTGGTGCATGAGGAACTGCTTAGCCTGGCAGGTCACCCTCAGCATTGGGACATGGGAATGCAGGGGGCAGTGGGATGTGGGGAGCCAGGCTGTCCCTGCTGAGTGCCATAGGGGAACAGGGATGCACAGCTGAGAACAAGTCAGGTCAGCTTCGCCCTGGTGCTGCTCCAAGGGTAAAGCTCACATTCCCTGCTCCAGCAAAACACAGCACCTGGTGGGGCTACACCCCTCGCAGCAAAGCCAAAGGCAGCATGGCATGCAGAGGGCTGCAGACCCCAAGAGCCCTGCATGCATGGTGGTCACTCACCAGCATTTTTGGGAGGTGCATTTCAGAGGACTTCGGGAAGACGTACACACAGGTCAGGCAGACAGCAGGCACACTCAGCAGTGGCAGGGCAGCAATCAGAGCAGCCAGGAGCACCCAGGGGAAGCCTGCAGGGAAAGTCCCCATCAGCCCCTATAATGGCATCCCACTAGCTGGGTCCAGTCCCAACCAGAGGGGTCCACGTGGGCTGTGTGACCCACATCCTGCTGTGTGTCTTCAGTGACACTGAACTTTCACCTGCAGGACCCGCTGGTGTCACCAGGCACTGCTCAGCCTCCAGGCTCTGCTGTGGGGCTATGCCCACTGCCACCGTGCGGATGCAGTACTGTGTGCTGGGCATCAGGAACCTGAAGGTACACGATGCTTTCCTGGTGGTCCACCTGCAGGGCACCTGCAAGCAGAAGGCCAAGGTCCCAGTGACTGTTACACAGTGGCAAAGGGATGCTTTCATCCCATAACCATTCATTTTTTATGATGCACACCATCTGGAAGAAGATCCCCAGACCAGAAGACCCATCTTTGGGATACAAACCACCCCTATCTCCTACCCACTCGTCCACATGTGGGACAACATAATGGGTACCACCAATTCCAAGCCCTCATGCTATCACCCCAACACAACGGGATACGAGTTCCAGAGCATCCCTGTGCCCCCTCCCCTGGATCCCCTGCCCCACCACGCACCTCCTGCTGGAGCACATCCCCACGGTACAGGCGCAGGTGGTACCGCAGCTTCCGCAGCACTCTGCTGAGAGGTTTGTAGGATCCATGCCTGCTCTTGTATGGGGTGAGCGGTGCACTGAGGTTGATGCTGAGGTTATGGCCCTGGAGCTGCCAGGACAAGGTGGGAGGGCCCACAATTGCTGTAGGGACAGGAGAAAAATAAAGAGGAGGAAGTGCTAAGCCCTTCAAAGCATGAGGTGGGTGTCATAAAGCAGGAGATGGGTGTCTTATTTCTTCAGGAGCGGTCATTCTCTGGGAACGATGTTTTCCCACCTCTTGTAGGATCCCCCCTAAGAGCAGCAGGAATGCAGATGAAGGCTCCTTACTGTCTCTGTATGGCAGCAGCTCGCTGGAACTGACCCACGGGGACGGCTCACCATCCTGCACTGCTCTCACCCTCGCCCAGTAGATACCATGGATGTCGTCGCAATGCAGCTCACACGCCCAGGATGAGCCAGTGCTGTTCTCCCCACAGGTGTCTGCCCTGGTCCAGCGAGAGGTTCTGCCCATGGAAACAATGACAGGATAGGAAAATCCATCATCCATCTGCTGTGCCTGGCCAGGTGGGGTTGGGGGGTGAGAAGTGGGACTAAGCACCGCCTGTGCAGCAGCAGTGGTTTATTGTGTGCTGGAGAGCCCAGAGAAGATCCAAGGGGGTGAGCTCCTAGTAGAGAGCTTCTGACAGTTGGGGCATCTGTGGGATGGGGCTGAGGGCTGGGAAGGCTCAGCCCCAAAAGGAGGTGACTTGGACCAGGGGGACCCAATCCACATGGAGAGGAGTGATGATCTTCTTGGTGATGCCCAGTGGAAGGGCAGCAAGTGTGATTTGAAACGAAGATGGACTGAGCGAATTGAAGAATTTCCATTTAAGCATAAAGGGAAAAAAAAAAACAGCAAGCATAAACCCAAAAGAAACCCAAACCCAAAAGAAACCTAAACCCCTTTTTCTTGATTTTACCAATGGGGACCAACAGAGGGAACGGGGCAAACAACAACAGAGGGAAAGGGGGGCCCAGATGGGCTGTGGGGTCTCCATCCTTGAAGGCGGTCAGAACCCAGGATGCCACCTCCTGAGCCGATCCTGCCACTGCGTTATTATGGGATGTTCGTTGCAGGGAAGCAATCTTTGGGCTCCACCTACCGCTTCCTCCACTCCACCTGGTACGCGGTCCCGTTCGGTGCGTGCGGGTCGGGCTCCCACCGCAGCTGCACGTGGAAGTTCTGAGCCCACAGCCGCACCTCCCGGGGGGGCAGCGGTGTACCTGGGGGGCGCAGAAGGACGTCAGGCTGTGCGCTCCCCCGGCAGCACCCCATCAGCAGCGTGCCCCTTCCTTCCTTGGCCACGCTGCACCCATCCCAAGGCTTTGCCCAACCACCCGCCCTCCCCGGCACGTTTTGGGGCTCACCCCGCAGCAGGGCGCAGCTGGCCAGGGACAGCAGCAGGCTCAGCGCAGGGCTCATCCCGTCCCCATCTGCTCTACATGGCCGCGCTGGGTCCCACGTCGTGCCCGAGCACTTGGGCCACCCGCGACCACCATGGGCAGCCAAAACCTGCTTGCAGGAAATAAAACCCAACGGCGTTATTTGGCCCCAGAGCTGCAGCGCTGTGCCTTCCCCACGGAGGCTGCGACTTCGGAGGGCGCACCGCAGTGAGGTGGGGACAAATCCCCACGGGGCTGCGGTGACAAAGGGACACGCGGCTGCCACGGGAGCCGTGCTGCGGCCGCCCGGCTGTGCCCGCCTGGTGCTCGCTTTCGCTGGGCAGTGCCACCCGATGCGGGTGCGTCTCAGGAAGCGGTGACACCCCAGTACCGCCCTGCTGTGACCGGACACCAGGGCGTCTCGTCGGTGAAACGGGGTCCCCCAACCACCCCGAAGCCCCGCACCCCATCGAGCCGCGCAGCACCCGAACCCGACGGGATGGCTTCTCCCTAAAACCGCGCTCTTACCCACCGCGTACAACGGCAGCTCCGTTGCCCCGTTGTCCCCCAAACCCTTTTGCCACCCCGTGCCGCCGCTCCACCCTACCCGCAATCACAGCTTGGGTAGGGGGGGGGGGGCCAAGCCTCAGCCCCTTCAGCCCCTCCAGCCCCACCGCCCCCCGCACCCCACGTCGCCCCCCGCTCAACCATCCTCCCCACCTCCCGGGCCGCCCGCCCGCAGGCACGGCCCACCTCCACCAGCGCGCTCCGTGCCCGCCCCAACTGCGCCCGGATGCGTCCTGTGACGGTGCTGAGGTGATGTGCTTTGGTGTTGTGGTTTTTTTTTTTTTTTCTTTTTAAATTCCACCCCCGGGTCAGGTTTCTTCTCTTTTTCTTCCTCATTGCCCGTCTCACCTCGCTGCCAGCTCAGCAGTGCCCTCTGCTCCCCACACATCGCCTCTGAGCAGCGCCGGGTGCGCGGCGCACAGCACGGTGAGAGCAGCACCGAGGCTGATGCTCCTCCAGACCCCTGCAAGGTGAGCAGCCCCGGCTGGGCTCCTCGGGAACGGCGCTGTCACGATGACACGCAGCCACTGGACGGACGGAATTTAATGGCATCCTCATTGAGAACAGCTCACGCTTATTGCCACCCCAACCCCAAACAGACACGGCCATCAGCCCAAATGGCCACGTGTGTCACTCACGGGGAGGACGACAGTGAGGCAGGGGTTGCCCAGGACGCCGATGGGACCGGGTGATCCCAGAGGGATGGGGCAGGGGATGTTTCAGCCATCCCAGCACGGAGAAAAGAGCATTCCAAGAGCTCTTCAGTGCTGTCAAAGGCTCACGGGAGCAAACGCTCGTCCCTTCTGCACATTTCCACTTCCGACATCACCTCCAGCACTCCCTGCTTTGCTTGCAAGGCTGGGAACACCCCTGAATAGATCTGGGCACCGCTGGTGCACCCAAAACAGAGGCACGGAGAGACAAGAGAAGCTGGAGACACCCAGATCTGCAGCAGCCACGGCTCCGGCCAGCCTCCTCCTCCCCCTCACGTCTTCAAAGCAGCAGGAATCGCAGAGCTGGGCACTTCCTCGGGTGTCGGGATGGACGTGGGCAGGACGCAGCACGACGGTGCTACGGGACGTCGGCACCTGTCCTCGCTTTTCGCAACGCGGCCACCTCCGTCCCCGCCTCCAGGAGGCTGTGCTAAGCTTTGCCGGGCGGTACCCATCCTCCAAACGCCTCCTCCAGGTAGCGGGCCACTGCCAGCGTCAGGCGGTCGTTGTAGGAGGCTGCCACCAGCTGGATGCCCAGCGGCAAACCCTCACTGCTCAGCCCCAGCGGGCACTGCGTGACGGGCAGCCCCAGGACGTTGAAGATGGCTGGAAGAAAGGAGATGGCATCAGAGATTCCCCCCCCCGAGCCGGGCTGCTGGCTTCCAAGCTTCGGTTGGAAGATTGGAAGGGAGCTTAAAGCCCAGCCCAGCAGCTCAGGCTCCATCCCAGCTGGCCCAGAGCACCTCCAGGGATGGGGAATCCCAGCTGAAGGCACCATCCCCACATCACCCCAAAGCCAGACAGCATTACAGCACAGTGCTGGTATGGAGAAGCTCCAGATGCAGCAGAACCACACAGGGAGCTCCAAGCTGCATCCCACAGCATGGAGCAGCTGCCAGAGCACACTGCACCCCTCTGGACATGGGTACACGGAAATAAATGCCCACCTCCACATGTCCTTAGCAGAGGACTTCTCTGCTAAGCCTGTCGTTGGGGACAGAGACCCCCATGCAGAGCTGCTCACCTGTGTAGGCAAAGTTGAAGGGCATGCAGATGGGGTGGTGGTGCCGAGGTGCCACAGTGGGGTGGGGTGGGTAGAGCAGCACACCATCCGTGCCCAGCAGCGTCTCCATCTCGGTCTGCAGGCTCTTCCCCATGCTGACCAGCTTGGCATTGAGGCTAGGGCTGAGTTTCATCACCTTCTCTGTCAGCCCCAGGGCTGCAGGGTGAGGGCAGAACAGGGCTGTGGGTTACAGCAGGTGCAAGGCACGCAGCACAGTGCCCTACAGCACTTATAGGCACCGCTTTGGGAAGGGCTTTCAGCCCACCCGCAGTTTGAAGGACGGAGCAGAACACTCTCAGCACTCATTAACCAGCAGCACAGCACCGCTAACGAGAGCTTCCCGTTAATTGCAGGGCTCCCCATGCTTACCAATGGCCGGCAGTGTGTGTGAGGACATCCCCACCAGCCACTTCAGCAGCTCCCACAGCGGCCACACAGGTTTCCCGTGGTCCCCCAGCAGCTCTGTGAAGCACTGTGCCTCCTGCAACCACATGCACACACAGTGCAGCAGCAGCCCTGCATGCATTTCCCTTTGCAGGCACTGTGACTTCTTCCAGCTGCAAAGCAGCAGGTGATGCACTGGGAGGTGATGCAATGCTGCTAACCCAGCAGTGCTGGGATGCTATTGCACACAGATCCCACTTTGCAGTGTGCCCTGAGATGGCACCCACGCAGCTTTGCAAGGAGGTAAAAACACTGCAGTGTCCCCCTGTGCCCCCACGTGTCACCTACCGTCCCGTCGCTGTCCTGAGAGGACATCATGGCTGACCAGATCTGGAAGGAGTACTTCATCTTGTGGATGGAAACCCGCTGCACCTGCACCCCCAGATCGCTCTCGAGGTGCTCCACCACCTGGTGGGGACAGAGGGAGAGGTGTGCATCTATCAGGACACAACACAGCTGAAACCCATGGAGACTGGGAGGTCAGTGGGCCAGAGAGCACTCTGCACCTCCTCTCTGCTGCAATAGAAACTGCACCCAATGCTTTGGACACAGTTACAAGTGCTGCTTGCAGGGGTGTTGTGCTCCTGCTGCAACGCAGAAAGTTGTCCTTGCACATTTTCCTTCCTACCTTCTTCTGGGCTTGCAGGATCTCTTTTTCTACGGGGTACACAAACATGGAGCCGCCATCGTGGTCCATGCAGAAGAACTTGATTTTCTCCAGTGACACATTTTCATCCAGCTTCAGCCTGCAAAAGGAACAGGGCACCTTGTAACTCCGTGCTCTGGAGCTGCTCACAGGCATAGAAATCCCCTGAGGACATTATGGTGCTGCCCATTCCCCATCCACCCTCTCACCCCACTGCTCCCACCGCAGCTCTGCAAATGCAGCCCTGCTGCAATGCCTCATCCTTTGCAGTGCACCCTTCAGGGACACCACGGCTAAGGACAGCACTGCAGCTCTGTATTGCAACAGGAGAAATGAAATGCTGAGGCAGCAGCACTGCAGCAAGCAGCAGGACCTGCCCTGCCTGCACTTTGCTCCTGCTGGTGCATGCATGCACACTGAGCATTGCACGGCTGCATGGCGACCGAACGGTGGTTGGAATGGAAAAAACATTAAGCAACAACAGGAAAAAAGCAAGCAGAAAACAAAAAGACAGCCGGTTCCAAACGGGAAGTGCAACTGGAAGCACTGCCAGCAACCTACTTGTGCACCTCAGGGCCAGCCATGACCCGCAGCATCGGCTCCAGGTCCTCAGCGTAGCGGCACATGGGCCCGGTGCACAGGAAGCTTCTCCGCACCCCCTGCGCAATGGGGAACTGCCCATCATTGGGGACCACTCCTGCAAGCAGGGGGAGAGGGGTTGGTCACTGCATGCCACTGCTGCAAGGTAGGGCAAGAAGTGCAGGACTGTGGTCTCCTGCTGTCCCGCTGCAGCTCAGGGGTTGCATGCAACAGGTCTGCACAGCTGCCCCGGAGTCTTGTAAAGGTGCCCTGGGGTTTTGCAATGCTGCTCCAATTGTTTGTGGTGATGTCCCCAGTGCCGCTCCGGGGATTTACAATAGTGCCCCTGGGTTTGCAATGCCACTGCAAGCGTTTGCAGTGGTGCTCCTGGGGGTGCTTGCCACGCTCCTCCAGACTTTTGCAATGCCGGTGCCCTCAGGACAACAACGGTACCCTGGGTTTCGGAGTGCCACTCCAGGTGCTTGCAGCAATGCTCACCAGGGTATTTGCAACCCACACCAACATGCAACAAGGAGGGCAAGCAGCTGGCTGGCAGAGCCGAGCACCCCTAACCCCAGCTGCATGTACATTGCATCCCTGCTGCCAGGAAAGTACCCACGCAGCACAGCCCTGCCCTGGGAACACATCCCACGCCGAGGCTGCGGCACCTCCCACCTCCCCTGCACTTGAAGCTCTGCCATCGGGCGGTTTCCCATTACTGTGCTCATGCAGCAAGTCTGCCCCATGCAAGAAGCTGCTTGTTCGCTCGCAGCCTTCCTTCTCTGTGTGTCACCTGTGGTAGGTTTGTGGCCAAAGACACCATTGAAGAACGCTGGCATCCGGATGCTGCCTCCAACGTCGGAGCCCACTCCTATCACGGAGCAGGCGGCTGCAAGAACGCTGCCCTCCCCACCTGCAGGGCAGAAAACAGAGGCTTACAGTGCACAGCACCGCACGGCGGACATTCCCCTCACACCCAAACGTTTGCAATGGCTGAGAAACAGAGCAAAGGGATTTTGCTCGCACCTGAGCTGCCGCCCGCGATGTGCTGCAGGTTGTAGGGGTTGTTGGTGCGCCCGTACACCTTGTTGCTGGATTCAAACCACATGCACAGCTCGCTGCAGTTGGTCACCCCCAGCGGGATGGCACCCGCCTGCTTCATCCGCCCCACCACGATGGCATCCGTGGCAGCAATGACACAGCGGCGTTTCACCAGGCCGGATGTGTTGGGCATCCCTGCAAAGGGGATGGGGTCACTGCTCTGCTGGGTTCCTCGCAACAGCCACCGCAAAAGGAGCAGAAGCTCCAAAGCTCGCTGCAAAAGGAGCAGAAGCAAACCCACCGTGCAAGGAGAAGGCCTCCTTAACGGTGAAGGGAACCCCCAGGAACGGGTACTTCTCCAGGCTGTCATCAGTGCGGCCCTCTGCCAGGAGCTGGTCCACCTGGCGTGCCTCCTGCAGGGCCTCCTCAAACCTGCGACGAACCAGCGAGAGCAGCACGGGGAGAGGCTTCCCCACGAGTTCCCGGGGCCGTTTGCACGCCCGCTCTCCCGCACAGCCCAGCACCCGGAGCTCAGAGCCCTCCCTGCCCTACCTGTCCTTGACGACGGCATTGATGAGCGGATTCACCTCCCTGATCCTCTCGATGTACGCCTCCACCACCTCGATGCACTTCACCTGCGAGCAACGACGAGGTGCGGGGCGGTCAGCTCGGACCACCAGACGTGACCCCAACGCCACGCATAACCCGCATAACCCCACCTCCCCCCCACGCACCTGCCGGAGCCGCAAGCGGTGCGCCAGCTCCCGGGCGGGCAGGAGGAGCAGCGCGCTGCGGGGTGGCGGGACGGCGCGCGCTGGCGCGGGGCTGGCGGCGCGTGAGGGCGCGGGCGCGGGAAGCAATCCCAGCAGCGCCAGGCAGGCGCGGGACACGAGGCGCAGCAGCAGCACAACGAACCGCTCCGCGCGTGACAGCGCCATCGCTACTCGGACACGCCCCCCCCCGCGCGGGAGGGGGCGGGGCTTGGATGCCGGCGGAAGTGACGTCAGTGAGGCGCGGCCCCCGACGCCATGTTTGGGGGGGCGGTTGCCATGGTGACCGGTGGTAGTGGTGGTAACATGGCGGCGGCCGCTGAATGAGTCGTCGCTCACAGGATGGCTCGCCTTAGTGTCCATCCCCGGCCTTGAGCTGGGTGCCCCCCAACCGCTCAGGGCCCACCGGTGGCCTGGGGCACCCCCAGCTCAGGGTAGCGGGGCAAAGCGTCACCGCCCTCTGAGCAAAGCAGGGGTTTTGCAGCTCCTGGATGCTGGGAGTTAGAAAACAAAACAAAACAAAATAAAATAAAACAACCAAAGCCGTGGTGTCTAAAACGAGCGTTTAAGCGGCACCCGTGCTGCCTGGAGAAAAGAAGGCTGTGGGGTGAATCATTGCAGCCTTTCAGTACCTGGAGGGAGCCCGCAAACAGAAGGAGATCAACTCTTTGGAAGGGGAGATAACTGCAGGACAAGGGGAAATGGTTGGAAGTTGACAGAGGAAAGATTGAGGTTGGGTGTCAGGGGGAAGTTCTTTCCTATGAGAGCGGTGAGGTGCTGGAACAGCTGCCCAGAGAGGCTGTGGATGCCCCGTCCATCCCTGGAGGTGTTCAAGGCCAGGCTGGATGGGGACCTGGGCAGCCTGGTGTGGTGTGAAATGCTGAGGTTGGTGGCCCTGTATGCTGCACAGGATTTGGAGCTTCATGATCCTTGAAGTCCCTTCCAACCTGGACCGTTCTGTGATTCTGTGATATTGCAGCTCCTCCCCAACCTCGCTGATAAACTCTTCAGAGGAAAACCTTTTATGGCTGTTATGTCGGCGTTTACAGCACCAGCCCACAGCACGCGCTGCCAGTGGGGACGCTGGGTGACCTCTGTCCCATCAGAGCCGGAGCTGAGCAAGAAAACAAAGCCATAATGATAACACAGAGATATTTTTAGACCAGCTGTTGTCAAACAGCTTTTCCTGTGAAAAAACAAAGCAGTCCCTCCCAAAGCAGGGGAATACCTGTCCCCTGCTGATTTCATTAAGCCATTCTCTCTTTTTGACCCTTTTTCTCCCTTTCCCAGCACTGCCCCGGCAGCACGAAGCAGGGTGACTGCCGGCTGTTGCCTGCTACGGCTGGGCTCGCTGTGTAGGTGCCTTATCTCAGTCCTCAGGTGGCTTTTGCACTTTCCCCTGCAGTATCGAAGCGCCCACACACCCTCAGATTACGACAGGGCAAGGTTAGAAAGGTGTTCTCCTGCTTGCACCACGTGCAGCACCAGAGTTACCTGCTTGGAGGAAACGGTGAGCCAGGGCGTGTTAAAACTTGGGCTGTGCAATCTCCTGGCAGCCTTTGTGTTGCCACAGCAGGAGCTAGCAGTGGGGAGAGCTCCCCAGAGCTGAGCACCTGAGTGAGGCAAATGGCCCCCAGGCTTCTGCCCAGGCCAGAGCAGTGAGGTCTGTGCTGTGGAAGGAGACACAGACAGAGCATCCCTCCTGATCTCCAGCCCAGTGCTGCTCTTGGCATTTTTTTACTGCAGGTTTGCCCTTGTTTTCCCCTCCAGTCCTGCCCAGCTGTTGGCAGAGAGAGGTATGAGCAAGCTTACTTCTTCTTGAGATCTCTGCTCCTTTTGCCACCACAGCAGAGACCTCCTCCAGGCAGCACCTTTGCTGTGGAATGTGTCTCCATCTTTGTCTTCATCAGGAGCAGCTGTGCAATGCACACCAGTGCACTTAGCACCAATCACACCGTGTGCCAGTGCTGCCCCGGGTGGCAGCTTGAGCTGCTTCTGAGCTTTCTGGGAGCGAAGCCAAAAGAGCAGCTACCATAATTCATGACATTCCAGAGGAGCTCCATTTCCATGAAAAAGGGAGGAATGAGATGGAAGATGCTCTAGAAATAACGTACCAGGAGGTCTCAGATAAAAATGAAGGCTGTATTTTAATGACTAAAATTAACCCAACAGGCAAGTGATGCCCCAGAGGCACAATGACTGCTGGTTAACTGCAGTCCGATTAAAAATCAAGCAGCAAGGAGCAGGGAGCTTGGAAACATAGAGTGGAGCTCACACATCCCTATGTGTCACCTAGCGAGGTGGAAGAAAAGCATGATTCAGGTTCTCACTTCCCTGGTACTTCTGCCTGTCATTATCCCCGGACGTTTTGTTATTAGCAACGGCTTAAATCAACACGAGAGATTAGCAAGAACGTGTGGAAAGGTGGGGTGGTTCTGCTCGTTGTGTGTATGGTGTGGTAACACCGATTGGCCAAGGAGCTGTGGGGTGGATGGTGGGAAGCAGAGAGGCGTGTGCTGGTGGATGGCATCGTGTTCTGTTTGCTTCCCCTGAGCTGTGCTGCTCTGTTCCCTGGTGCAGAAAAAGAAAAAAAAAGCTTTCAGGAAATTGAAACAAGTCCAGCAGAGTCATTCTTCCCTTTGCAAACTGAGTCGCTTAATATTTATCCATAAAATGAGGAGAAACACTTTATATAGAACAATGCAGAGGTGGGGGAAGAGAGAAAGGACAGAAACACAGCACCTCGGACACTTTACTTCCAATTAAAATAAATACAAACCCACCAAGTTTGCAGGTCCCTCCGTGCCTGCTGTTAGCCTTACCGCCGCTGAGCGATGCTGTGCCCTGCATTTCTGTCACGTCTCCTTGTTTGCTCGCCAGGAGCCTGGCTGCCTGCTGTGCTCTGTGCCTGTTGAATAACCATCGAGTGCAGGGAGGAATCCCCTGGAATTGCTTCAGATCCCCGCACCCGAACTGAGCGCATATCCAGAGCTACAGAATGGAACTTCTTCCCCCGAAGACCCCATGTGAGGGAGCACAGGCTGGATTCAGCCCATCACCCCGAGGAGGGGCTGCATTCGCAGAAAAGCAGTGTGCACCGGGCTGCTTCTGTTCTTGGAAATCAGATTTGCAGCAAGCCACAAGTGATGGAAAGCGAGATTTGCTTTATGTGCCACATCCTTGGCTTAACTTCGGCTAGCAGTTCTCAGACAGAGCATCCCGATGTGCATCCCAAAATCGGGCTGAGGTGCCAGATGGGTGCAGGGTTGGGATGTTTTGGGGTGTCCTGTGGCTCGGGGCGCCCGCTGACTGTGCTGTTGCCATACGAGGTCGCTCTGCCACCGCGCCTCGACATCCCTGCACTGGCCCCGCAGGGCCACAGCTGTTCCCACTGCACGGAGCCAGAGTACACTGTGTTCGCCCAGAGTCCTTTATTAAGCAAAATGTTTATGCATGCCTCTGCTCCGATGAACATCTTGGCTGGCTCATGCAAAGCCTGCTCTGCGCTGCGCCTCCAGCTGCCGGCGGGCCTTGGGAAGGGTCAGGAGGACCCTAAATTTAGGATTCTTCTGCTGGATGCATCCCCATGGTGGGCAGCCCCTACCTTGGTCTCTATGCCCTCAGCCCTGCTGCAAGCCCTTGATGCCCCGGGGTTGCTGCTGGCCCCTTTGAGGGGCTATGGGGGGCTGTGCTTTGGGACCCATCCCAGAAAACCTCCCAACCCTTTCCACTTTAGCAGGGCTTTGGGGTGCAGCTGGGGGTTCCAAAAAGAGCTGGTACCTGGGCTCCAGCATGTCTCTGGCAGTGCAGAACAGCATTCCTGGCATTGTTCCTCCTCAGCAGACTCCTGGCACATCACCCTGATGTGCTGCCACCGTGTCCATGCTCCTTCTGAGGCCTCCAGCCCTTCCAAGGGGTTTCCCCACTGAGAAGGGAGCTGCACACCTTGGGCAAGGGGCACCAGCACTTTGAGGTCTCATATAGTCCTGCGGATGAATCCAGAGCCATGGAAAGGTGTTGAGAAGCTGGTGGGGACCTCAGGACACCAATGTGTGATGAGGATAGGTCCCACATGGGTGCATCCATGGGCACATGAGCTTGGATCTCTGCTGTGGATCCCACAGTTGAACAGTGCCTCAAGGAATGACTCTGTCTCATGTTTTGGAGGGTCACATGAGATGGAGCATCCCAATAGCACAGCGAGGCTGCAACAAACCAGTGGGACCAGTGCTGAACTGATGATGTTTGTGTGCCTTGTAAGAGAGACCAGCCCAGCGTGTTTGCAAGGGAGAAGAAGGGATCTGCTGCAAACCTCAGGGCTCACTGCCTTGAATTTGGGATGCCAAAAAGCTGGTGGCCACCAGATGCCAACGGCCTTCGTGTTGGTGACATCGTGCCATTGGACACATAGGTGTGCCTGGCCGCCCGTGCAGGCTGGGGGACTTTCCCAAGAGTGCTGGCTTTCGGCAGAGCTGGTTGCCCAAGCAGCCCCATGGCCCTGCCAAGCTGCGTGCCACGGCCCTTGCGCAACGGTGTTGATAAACACTGCAGGGCATGCCAAGTCCTGTGGGACGCAGCTGTGTGCTGGGGCTGCAGGGAGTGCCCGGCGAGGCAACAGGAATTTTCCACTCTCGGCACAGTACATCTCGCCCGGCCGGGTATTGACCCAGTGAGGTGAAGACTTGTCTGCTGGTGTCCCAGCTGCCTCTGTCTGACCCTATCAGCCCTGCTGCACAACCCTGTCCTGGGCACTAGTCAAGGCAGGGGGCACAGCAGTAGGGCTGGAATAGGGTGCCACTAAGCCCAAGGCAATCCAGCCATCCCCATGGAGACGCTGTGTCCTTAGCTTTCCCTTTCCAAGGATGTTATTGCTTTCCAAGAATAAGGACCTTGTCCTAAGGGTGTACTCCATGTCCCCAGGACTTGCTTTGTCCTTGGGATGGAGATCTCTTTGGAGTTCCTTTTTGCATTCACCCCACATGGTGTGCAAGAGAGAGCCTTTCTGAGAGCCTTCCTCCTCAGGTCTGCATGGGAAAGCCACTGGCATAGGGATGCTCATGTAGATGGTGCTTTGTGCTCCCAAACCATGGAGTGGCACAGGGCCCCCCAGTTTGGGACATTCCTGCTTGGTTTAAAGGAGCCTGAAGGGCAGAGATCCCAACTATTCTTTTTGGGAATCATTTCAGGCCCTGATGTCCAGCT